CAAGCTTTTGGGCACAAATGCCCTCCTTCAGGCATAGGGGGAGTTTGTGGTCTCCAGAGGTAACATCCTTGTTAACAGCAGTATAAGGAGATGAGAAATGATAACCCTGATTAGCTACCAATCAGCACTATTGTCTCTCTACAAGTTTGTGTACCCTATTGTCTCTCTACAAGTTTGTGTATACCAAGTCAAGCCCTTACCTCCCTCTAAAAGTGCAGTTTTAAGAAGTTAAATGAATAGAGGATTGTTGGGTGTGGAGTAGATCTGGGCAAGGAGGAGGAGTCTGGAGATAAATGCAAGGAGGGAGGGACAATAGGGGGAAAAAAAAAAAAAAAAAAAGAGAGAAACATTTTGAGCAGAATATTCCAGAAGTCTTAAGGGACAAGTTTCTGAGTATAGCCTCTCCATTGATTTGAGATTTAGTGAGGAAATGGTATGTTAGAGGGGAAAAACCTGATTAGGGCAGCAGGCTTGCCAGGCCATCAAAAATGAGAAGTCTAGAAGAAATAAGAAAGCCCCAAGCTAACAACATATGGCTGCAGCGCTCATTTGATGTCCTCCCAATATAGCGTGGCAAAAATCCCCCAAATATCCATGATTAATCTAGTGAATTGGAAACAGACTTCCCAATAACTTCACAAGTATCTGCTTCAATTAGCTTTGGTAAATAAAATAACCAGATCATAATTCAGTTCTCTCATGTAGCTGCAAAATTCATCTGAAAAAAATACCAAAATAATCCACTGCTTTAAAATGTTTCAGAAAAATCACTGCTTCTAAAAATGAATCGTACATCTCTCTTCGAGTTGGGAATAATGTATTACAGTTACATCAAAGAATAAGAATGCACTTTTTGTAAGAAGCCTCGATTTTAATCTCTGGTTTCTGACCAGTATTTTCTATTGCGATTTAAATAGATTTGATTTAAATCAAAAGTCACCCTGTTTCATGTTTTGCAGCACTTTTAAGGAATTCACTATTGTAGTTCACAGTAATTAAAACTGTTCTTTTTTCTGCATACATCCAAATAAGAGTCACTTGCATACCAATACTAGAAGCACAGACCAAGAGTACAGTCACCGTAAAACTATCGTATTTACTGAGTAGAAAGCCATGCTGTTTCTACATAATCATAGGGCTTTAATGCATGGATGTAATGGAAGGAGAGCCATCAATATGCCAAGGTAACTATCAACCTATGTCTGACTTGTTCAGACAGAATTAATGCATGTAGTGCAGAATCATTTAACCATTCAGCTCTACTGAAGAAAAGCCTCAAACAGGAAGTGCAGTAGACTGCAATTTGATGTCAGAGATGTGCATACCCAGCATCTCCTACGTAAATGCAATTAAGCTTTAACCTTCCACATTCAGGGAACAATTCTGTTATATGGCCTGAGCTTTGATACAGTCACTCCTCACACATCAGGAGATGATATAAAAAGGAAAGCCTTGCCACACCTTTTTGCTGTGCTCATCGTTATGCTGTCTGAAAACCTCAAACCAAACCAGATTTAATCCTGTAACAGCATAACTACAACACTAAGTTCATTTGAGTGATTTAATAAAAACCTAGATACTTCTATCAGCAGTTGTTCTTGCAGAGTACAGAAAGGAATCCTCATTGCTGCTGTGCAGCTTTGTTTAACTATTCAAGTTACCGTTTCCACAATTTCTCTCAAGTAAAATGCCTTCACTGCCAGAGGGAAAAATAGTTCAAAAGGACAGGGATGGATTAACCTTTTATAGTGGGCCCTAGGCAAACACTCATAGGCCCCTACTTAATGTACTGTATATTTACATTACTTCCCCTCCCACTCAATTATAATATTTAAAACAAGCACAACTGGGCCGCTTCTTCACTTAAGGCCCTAGGCATGTGCCTAGTTTGCTTGTGTGTCAATCCAGCCCTGCAAAAAAAGATACAAGTAGGTATGGCAAATCTTATAATTAGTTTCTTGTAAAGAAGTGCAAAGTAACACAATGCCTACTTTAAAAAGCTATTCAGGATTACACATCCTCAAAGTAAAAAAAGGCATATCTAATGTTTAAAACACTACATATAATAAATACCCTTTGCTCTGACATTTCAGGAAAATTTATAATTTTTACTGAGAAAATTTAAAAAAAAATTCCTGTGTTTCAAATCTAGGAAGCAATCGCAGATACTTTTAGATTGCAAGTGCCATTTCATTCATGACTACAAACTCTTAACCCCTAAAGACCAATCTATCCATATCTAAATTTAGATTTCTTTCTACACTGAATTAAGATCAAGAAATGCAACTTTTCATCCAGTATTTTGAAGCCATAGCCCTTTACCAGATTGCCAACACTTCTCCTAGGGAGCAGCCTTCCAAAAAAAAATTCTAAAAATTTTAAAAAAGTGGACAGACATCGATAACTGAATCGATTATTGAAAAAATGCACATGCTCCCTGCAGTCTAGGTACCAAGCTTCATAAGAAATTGAAAATACACAGTAAAATATAATCAGCATTGGATTGAGTCAGAGGAAACAATTCTCTCAATCTGCGCTTTTAAAATGTACTTCTGGGTCCCAGTTTTAGCTATAAAAACTGGGAGAAAAAAAGCACACTAAGTTTTACATGTATTAAGATCATGAACTCAGATTTTAGAACAGCTCAATTTTAGTTTTATTTACAAAAGAACTAATGAGGGGTCATTATTACAAAACCTTGGTATGTAATACAACCAAGTTAGCTTACCACCACCATTGCCACAGTTTCCCCATTTCTGTATTTGACAGCAGCAGTTTGCAAAAAAAAAAAAATCTTTAAAAAAGTTAACAAATAAATACTGAAGTGTACAAGAATGAGCCATACTTTTCACATTTGATGAAGCTCCCTGCCAAGTTTGGCCTTGAGCACTACTGCTTAATCTGAACTGTAGCCATGTTAAACTGCTTTATAGGTCACTCGATACTAGCTGCAGTCATCTCATCACATCCATACTGTTGCTTTTAAGAATTGCTGTGTGTTCACATCTCACAGCACGGCTGAAAGCTCACTATCAACTAACTGCAACTTGAATAACTAAAACACCACATTTTTTTTACTGTGATGAAGAAGCCAAGTTACCTTCTTTTTCTCAATGTTCCTGATCTTGTGTTTGAGGCAAATGATCCCATTTTCAATGTAAGTCTCATACGCCTGGGCAGTATTAGCCGCAGAGTTCAGAGTCGACTGCAGGGGGCTCAGCGGAGGCTGACTCTCCCCAGGCTGATTCACCTGCTGCTTGGCAGGCTTCATGCTCTTGTCCTCCCCTTCCTCGGAGAGAACTGAAGGCGACAGGCAGCGAGCCTGGGCTTGGGAAAGCTGCACCATTGAAACGGATGGGGCTGCAAAGAGACTTACTCTTATTACTGCTCTTATCACGAAATGAACACACCCAGGTACCAAAAAAATATTCAAGGCACCCCCTTCCAGTTCCTTCACCCATTCAACCTCCAACTGCGACAAACTACCCCTGGCTCGGGTGTCTCCTTGCCCCTTCCCCCCATGCTTCTCTCCAGTCAGCCCGCACAGCAGCGTCAGGGATGCTTCCAGAAACCCCAGCGCCCATGCGAGGCTCCCTCTCCCAGCGCGCCCGGGGCGAGGGCACAAGAAGCAGCGAGTCTCGGGCACGAATCTCTCGCCCTTCACAGGACGCTGCGGCCCCAGGCAGGGCCGGGCGGGGCCAGACGCGCGCGGGGGTCCCTGCCCGCCCACCGTCTCGAGGGTTCCGCCGGCTGGGGGGGGAGCAGCTTCCCCCTGCGGCCCCGGCGGGACTGGGCGAGGCCGCCTGCAAGCATCGGCCTCCGCCACAGAGAGCGC